CTTAAGCAAATTGCAGACTGCTCTTACAAAGAATGGAGAAATTGGCATTGCATGCATGCAAATGCAAATGATTACAAAAATTGGCAAGCAATGGTTGTCATCACAAAATTGCATTTGTGCATAATCACTTTAGATACAGGGCCTCTATCCTGCGCGAGATAGATAGTTCAGCAAACCGTCAATGAAATAAATTCTTTCCAAAATAAACTACTGTAGGTTGCAAAAATTGGCAAGCAGTTCTTGTCATCACAAAATTACACTTGTGCTTAATCACTTTAGATACAGGGTCTCTATCCTGCGCGAGATAGATAGTTCAGCAAACCGTCAATAAAATAAATTCTTTCCAAAATAAACTAGGTTGCAAAAATTGGCAAGCAATTCTTGTCATCATAAAATTACACTTGTGCTTAATCACTTTAGATACAGGGTCTCTATCCTGCGCGAGATAGATAGTTCAGCAAACCGTCAATAAAATAAATTCTTTCCAAAATAAACTAGGTTGCAAAAATTGGCAAGCAATTCTTGTCATCATAAAATTACACTTGTGCATAATTACTTTAGATACAGGGCCTCTATCCTGCGCGAGATAGATAGTTAAGGAAACGCGGTCAATGAAATAAATTGTTTCCAAAATAAACTAGGGTCAAGGATTAATTCGTCGTTCTATTGTGCGCCGCCACACTCAAGGCTGTGGCCATATCCTTATCAAACATCATTTACACCATTGCTGAAATGGAACAATTGAACATATTGTCCATTGCTTGGCCATTTTGATGGTGTTTATTTGATCTGAAATAAAAGTTACCAACTATGAACAGTGCTTATAGACATACCAGTGCCGTTGGAATAGCGGGTTACACAGTAAGAGCTTAATTAAACAAGCTTTACAATAAGCATCACTGTATATCAAAGCTTTTTCCAAATTGGATTTCGATGCGATAGCTATTTTAAAAATCGATCGTAAATCACTAACCAAGGGCCCTTTCTGCACTGTACATTATGTGCATTCGACTACCGACGGCGTTAAAGGACAAAGAAACAGTAATGCAACTAATGGCATCGCT